TCATGTGGTTGCAGATGTTTTAATCCACATGAGGTACATGGCATGTTTAGACATCAACATGTGTCCCACAATCAGTAAACGCCTGCCCTTACCACTTCACATTAAGCTCATCTGTGTCCTGATAGAAACGGCACAGAGGCAATCAAACCTTTGTGCAGCACGCTGATATTTGTCCCAACAGAAACAGCGAGGAGACCTGCAGTACCTCCCCACTTCTGCGGCATGCTGGTCCGTGGTGCAGCTTACCTTTGTTAAACTGTTGTTTGTTTTAACATACTTGAGCTGTGGCAGTTGTTGCTCTTAACACTCTGTTATTAGCAACCGAGACACTTGCAATTATTCTGTTAGTGTGAAAGGACCGGCTGATTGTAGATGATTGGCTGGATCACAACCCAGTGACAAAGAAATTCACACGCAGACACACACACAGTTAAATAATGTGCTGAAATCAGCCATGCAGTGTGGGGGCGGGTGCACGTGTGTTTATGCAGCCTGCTCATCATGTACTCGTCCATGTGGGTGTGACAGTGTGCTTTCTGAAGTGTCATTTGTAGGGAAGAGACAATTTAACACAACAGAAAAATTGGAGAGAGTGTGCGAGAGCAGAGGAACGCAGAGGAAATAATCAAGTGATTATAGATTGCCTCTTGCAATTAAAGGATTAGCATGCTTTTGCTTTGTAGTGATTTGTTTTGTATTCCGATGCACCTTGAAAACTGGATGGCCTTAGCATCCAGTATCAGTCTCCCCCTTTCTCTCAGTCTGTCTTTGCCGTGTGTTTTTTGATGTCTAGCGTTGCTCTAGCCTGTATAGTTAGCATGTCTTTAATTATCCACCAACATGACATACCACTTAGAGCTCAGAATCCCTGTTGCTGTTACGCAACCCCACCCTCCTACACACAAACACATTTATATACTTCAATTATGTATGCATCTTTCCCGAGTGGTGGAGTATGACAGCTCTGTTAGCTTTTGCTTTAAATGTGTGCATGTGCTCAACGTGCAGAGTGCCAGATCTGCGGTGTCGTTGAAGGTTTTGATGCCTGTAGTGTTGTTGTTGTTAACCTAAAGGTGATGAATAAAACTCAATGTGTGACACAGCATGCTTTGCAAAGTAAAACAAGCTTGTGGATTAAGTGATAGAGCAATGAATATGTATATTTCCAGGCTCAGACACTGTTATATGTGCTTTGAAATGGCAATAAAAAAAAATAAAATGTCATGTTTTTGGGATAGAATTTTATGACATTAGCAATATCATAAATGTAGAGAAAAAAAGCAATTACCTCCAGTATACACAATACACATACAAAAGGTACCAAAGCTTAAAAAGAGAATAAATAATCATTTTGACCAAATCATTTATTATAGAATAATACTGACTGTTCACAACACTACAGCAGCGTCTCTGCTTATCTTTTTTTACTGAGCCATAGCTTTAGCAGGCTTTGATGCTCGTGTTGGTCACTTCCAATCATACAGGTCTAACAGGATTACTGGTAGCTTGTCATGATACTGGGACAGCCGCAGCCTGTTTGATATCACCCGTGACCTTACGATCACCGCTTCAACAGATGTCCTGCAGGTGTCCCCGTCACCTTTGCAGTCTTACTGAACTGTTCTGTAATTGTTGAACATTGTCTTTGCTCACCCCGAAACCTGACATTCAGTTTAGTTAGTTAGTTTACTTCCAACTTGAAACAACAAAGTTTTCTGAATTTGCTAAAAAAAAAAGAACAGAAAATCTCATTTGCATCACTCTACCAAACTGACAGACAAAGGCGTAGGTTTGAACTTCCCACCCACATCCACCCATATTAAGAAAAATATGTAAATACAGTTGAATATTTGTATATGATTTTCTGTAAGGATTTTCTGGCTGACAGAAAAAGGAAGACCGGAAAGAATAATAAAGATACAAATATGAGTATCATCTTGTGGTTTGTTAAGATGCACAAAAGAAAACTCAGTTGCAAAAATTAAACTGTGGGTAAGCAAGGCAATACAAACTACGTAATTACACAAAGGGCTTTCACTTAGGATCCACTCTGTTTCTATTCTGTTTGATTCCTCCCTTCTCTGTTTTGTTCTGTTCCTCTTTATAATATCTCTTTTAACTTAAATGAGTCCCTAAAAGGCCCTTGGTGGCCCAGTAAAAGTCCCTGGAACAGTAAAACTGTGTTAAAGTGAGTGATGGTGGCAGCAGTTAGGTTTATATTGCTAGCTAGCAGCTCTTTATGAGACTGTGTAGACTACTTTCTTCCAGGGACTGGACTGGGGAGTAAGGGAGGGGAGAGTGGAGAAGGACAGTGCACTGAATAGGATTATGTCAGAAGGATGACATTAAAATTACCTTATTGCTCAGTTTACCAAAGAGAATTTGCTACTCTGTCAGTGCATATTCCCCTTGACACATATACACCTAAAAGTGCCTTCCCTCTCAGGATAGATCCGTGTGTGGTGTCCAAGGAGAAAGCAGGTTGAAGTTTAGTGCCCTGCTGAAGGACACTTTCCCCTTTTAAGTCTTCAGTTTCACCCCTCAAAACACTTCCTGACAGTGGCCAGAATGAAACCAGCAAAAGGAACTACAGTGCAGTTTCAAGTTGGACTGGCATTTAGTAACTAACAGAAGAGAAGTTAGTGGAGGAAGGAGTTTGTAGTGAACTTTGGTTAAAAAGAAAGAGGCAAGTGGTGAGATGAGGAGCGAAGAGAGGAAGTATCCCCACAGCGAGAATGTTAAGTGTTTACAAGATGAAGATGCCGTCGTGCATCTCTGTGCTCCTCCGTCTACCCCATGCCACTCTCGCTGACACACCGCCATCGCACCTAATCAGCCAATCACGGCTGGATTCTGTCTAAGAGGCCTGATTGGCTGATTAACCAAGCTCATCAACACACCACCCGGTGCGCCTACAGACACACATGGGCAAGCACATACACAATGTGCAGATTACTGAGTATATCCTGTAGTGTGTGTGTGTGTGTGTGATCGCATGTGCATAATCTATGCATGCATTTGTAAAAGGTTTTGGGTCTGTGTGGGCAACATGTCTGCAAGTCCATAGAGTTTAAAAATGAGAAGTTGTTTTACCACTTTCAGCTCCTTAAAAATGGTTTGCCTTGAGTCTTGAATATTATTTTTGATGGCTGTGTGTGTGTCTGTGTCTGTGTGTATATTTGGGAACCACAACCACAAATTGCCCAACAGCTGTAGTTGGGTTTACATAAACTGGAGCAAAGGCAAAGAGCCTCAAATTACAGTTTTGGGAATATACTCATTTGTGTGTAATATTATAATTTTCTTGGTAGCTGCCAATTAAACCACACATTTATAAACAATCAGTATATCTGGTAATAGTCAGTATCATATAAACTCCATCAAAACAGTTATTTTTTCACTGTAAGTCGTAACACAAAATAAAAAAGGTATTGAGTAGGACGGCAGGTTCACTATAGCTGGACCTACCGTAGTAGCAAATACAAATGCAGAGATTTTTGAGAGCAAGTGGGAAGCACGAAAAGCATGTTTTCATTTTTGAAGCTAGATTTACAAATGATACCTTACTGAATCTTCCTTTCACGAGGTGGCTCCTTGAGCTCTGCTGATGTTTTCCCTCGGTTATTGGGATGCTGCAGATTGGTATGCTTGAAGATTGTTTTTTGGTCAATACAGTGTTTGACATGTAGCAAATGAAAGGTTTTTATCTATCATGTATCGTATAATAAAACTTTAGTGAGGCGTCGCGATGCAGTATTTTAAACTTAAAAAATTTAAATTAATTATTAAAATATTAGCTGCAGTGGCCACTGCGGTGTATGATACTTATATCATGCATTGTGCATGATTCAGGATTTCGACAGTAGCCCCTGTCATTACACACATCTCATTCTTCCTGTCTTCCCTTTATTCATCCTCTATTCCATTATCATTTTCCCATGCAGAGCACGGCAACACGTGGAATATAGCAGGGCCCAAAGGCAGATCAATGCCAATATTTATTTCATGTCCAATTACTGGGGCAGAACCGCAGTCCGGAGAATGCAGCGATGAAAGTAAAATCATAGAGAGGCACACAGAAACCCCATTAGAAGTGCAGCCTGCAGCCTATAAGCTTCAAGAGTAAAGAATATGAGTACAAGCGCAGGTTCTAGGATTCCAGTAGCGCGAGCTACAGGCATTACCAGGGGGTGAATCCTCTAGAAAGCAGAGTGAAATCCTGTTGCTTTCAGTGGGAGATCCCCCCACTATCCTTTTTCCTCCTCTTCACCTGTTTTTTTCTGTTACAGCTTTAGAAATCCAATTCATCTTTAGCACTTTAGAAATCCCACCTGTACTCTATATTAAATAGTGAGAGTTAAAGAGAACGGTCAGAACATATCAAAGTCGATCCTGTTCATCACTAACCAAGCTCTGAAATATTTCACACACTCATGTTCTCTCTACTTTTTTTTTTTTTTTACCGGCAGGCTGTATGAGAGTGAACATGATAATGTTTCAGCTGTATACAGTGATATTTACAAGTAGGCCTGGACATTATACATGATGTTGACAAGTCTCAGTATTGTAATGCCAATTCTTGCCTTGTGTCAATAGCAGTGGGACAGATACTGAGAGACAAATTTATTTCAGTAATTGCAAATTAAGAAGGAAGAATTTATATTGAATTACTGTTTGGTTTTAAATCTTTTACCAAAGCCATACTATGCCACCAGGAGTTAGAATACAGAAGCTCTTGTAAACCTCAGTTATAATTTGTTTTAAAGATTACTTCTCCTGTATAAATAAAACAACATTAGCAATCCAAGCAGTCACTGACTTTTTATTGATCTGCTGTTCTTTTTTCGTAAAGGTACAAAGGTTCACAGCTGGAGCACAGTACATTTTCATTGCAGTCATTCCCACTAATCAATAGAATTTTCTTCATTATAGATCAATAGTCCCTGTATCACTTAATGACTTGCACCTTGCCTTCTGTCTCTCTGTCCTCCCCACTCCAGATTTGTTCCTGACCACTGAGGGGCCTAAGTTTGAGACGTGGCTCAGTAAGGTAAGCCTTTTTTGAATTAGTTTTCTTGTTTTCCTGTCGCAGCTTTCCGTTTCCACTGCGTGTCTGTTCAGTTCAGACAGGACAGCCATATGTGAGTCATCCCACTCCTCTGTATCTGTGCAGTAGGATGCATGATCACTGTGTGGTAAACATGATTTTCTTACAAATCAAGTCTTAGCTTTTATGACTGTTAATCCTCATATATTATCTTGTGTTAGGATATATCACATTGCTGTATCAACAGCACAGAACTCTTATGTAAAGTTTATAATATTGCATTTTGATTTGTAGTCTTTAAGGACAAATACAACACAACACAAGCCCTTCTCAAGTTACCAAAGCCTCGAGTGATGGTATAAAATGGCTTTTTTGTCAGACTAACAGTCAAAATCCCCAAAAGGTAATTTTGCAAAAAAAATATGGAAGAGAGCCAAAGAATATTCTCTTATTTGAGACGGACCAGTGAATATTTGCAGTATAAAAACAGGGAAAAAAAGCCAAACAGGTGTATTCTTATTGAAAGTGTATGTGAGTAAAACTATGTAGACTCTAGAAACTGTAAAAATGTAAATGTAGCAGCTTTTTTACTGCTTTTATTTTTTATATTGGTTTCTAAGCCCTAATTGGACAATTTTGCTGTTATTTTTATTGAGCTATGAGCCCTAGTTGCACTTCAGTTTTTTAGTTTTAAAATTGAAGGTTGGTTAGAACTGTGTCCTCACATCTAGAAGGACCCAGGTTTGAATCCCCTGAAACTACACTGAATGGGTGTTAAATTGATCTATGTGTGGACCGTGACCCTGATGTCTAAGGGAAAATTTGATCTCAGTGGGAACCACAACAAATAGCTGTTACCTGAACTTTATCATGAAACAGTGATAAAGTGATTACTTTCTATTCTAAAATAAGGTGTATGTTTATACTTACACTTACCAGCCACTGTTGTCCATAAACTAAGGACCTATGGTCCATAATAGACATGTTTTGTGTGTCCCATATATTAAAGTACAATATGTACACCAATAGGAAGATTGTGTCTGACTCTGTATGGTAAGCGAAGGTATGTACCAAGTGAGCAGAGAGTGACAACCCACACACCACCCCTCTTTTCATTTCTTTAATGCAACAAACAGATCTACAAAGCTTGGTGGAGGTGCAGGATTGTTGGCACTGCTGCAGGACTATTTAATATTCTGGGAGAGCAGAGAGGGGAGACCGTGGCTCGGGGGCTTTTGTCGAAGGGGCCTATTTGAAATTCAGCAGGTCAAGGCACAAGCCGAACAGTAGTCTGTTATCACAGAGAGGGAGAGTAGGAGAAAGGAAGGGGAGGAGGTAAGATAGAGGAGAGAAACTGGGCCACTGTTTACACCTGGCATTACCATGCGTCTTGGGTGATCCGATTACAAGTGGGCCGCTCTAAGTACATTGGTTCACACCTGGCATTAGAATGTGTCTGCTTGTGTCTCGAGTGACCGCTTGTGATCAGATCTTACTTCCCCGCTCTATATGCAAATAAACACCCACATCATTTCTGGTTTCCTCTAATATGAATCATCCAATTTCCGTTGTACTGATTCCCAAATGGAAATCCGACAGCATGTGTACTCCATCAATTAGAATACATTTTGCCTGTTGTTGTGACTTCGTCTTGTCTTTTCCCACTTCTATATGTGCGCAAATGAGTATATACTTCCACTTATGCAGAAAAAGTCAGCTGTGAAGGCAGTTGATTGAATCTCAGTGTGTCCTCAATGCATCTTGGGTGAATTCACACCTGTACTTAGAGCTTTCCACTTGTGATCACATCACCCAAGATGACCGCAGATAAGAAAAATTGTTAGATTTAGCAGACACAGCAGGTGTGTGAGGGTAGAGAGAGACGAAGCAGGACCAAAACAAAAATAAACTGCCTTGCCCAAAAAACAGTAGGATAGGACAGGTGTTAGGAATGTTGATCAGGTAAGAAGTTCAAAAACATGTTTGGTGGAAAGCTAGGCCCATAGGCCAAGGAAAAACTGTTTAGTTGTTCAGCTATTGGCGTGGCCTCGAGGATAGCAGTGTTAGTCTTTGGGTCGGTTGCTCCACTGCGTTGGTGCAGACTGGAATTTCTGAACTATTTGGTGGTTCACAATGAAATTAAGCCTATTGACTCTGGTGATCTCCTGACCTGTCCTACAGCACCACCGTAAGGTTAACATTTTTATTTTTATTTAGAATATCTTGACAACTGTTGGATTAATTGCCATGAAATTTGGTACAGACATTGATGGTCCCCAGAGGATAAAAAGATCTTCTATCGCCCGACCTTTAATCTCATGTCATCTTCAGCTCAAAATTTCTTTTTATCCAATACTTTTGTTCATGAGCAAGTAACTGAACTGAGCTAATGACATTCCCACAGTCTCAGCTGTACTTTATGTTTATTGCTAATATCCTATGATAATATGCTGTAATGTTAGCATGTTAACAGGGTAAGTAAGATGCTAAACATATACCTGCCAAACATTAACATTCTAGCATTATCACTGTGGACTTCAGGAGTGTTTGGTATTTTGTCATACATTCATTTTATTTTTTAATCATGTATTGTGTGTTTGATGCTTGTTGTTTCAACCATAAGCCTTTATCTGTCATGAAGCAAAGTAGAAAATGTGGAATTAGCATGTAGATGACAATTGGAGTAGGGCTTTACCTCAGTAAAAATAGAAAGTCATTTCACATCAAAGGTTTGTTTAATCTGTGCAAAGAAATTGAGGTTATCTTCTTAAGCTCACAACAGGCCTGGTAGATAATGTGTAATAATTTTGATAGCAGATCAAGACATATGTCTCCATGACTCTCTGTGAAACCTTCCTTTGTTTTGCTTTGCGTCATTTATTCGTCGTGATTAATTCATCCTTCAATCTTTTATTAGTTCTTCTCTTTTTAGGAAGGGTCAGTATCTCATTCAGTGTGTCTTGTAATTGTGTACATTGTGCCAACTGCCAATTGATTAATGAAGCTTCATTGTGTGGTGAAGTGAGTCTTTTAAATCCTGTTGGAACAGTGTGTGGAGCAAGGGTTTTAGGAGCATGAAGAAGTGAACACCCACACTGTGACCAGCAGAATGAGTTGTATCCGGTTTTAGGTCCTCTGCAGTATACCTGTGTCACTCTATCTCATTCTCATCTTCAGCGAATGAAAAAATCCTTTGCTTTCATCTTGCCACATTCTCTGTTCTTTTTCCTTTTTGTCTTTGCTTAAATGCACAAACAAGTGCTCATACCCACACATACTTGAATAAATCCAAAAATACCATTCACCCAAAGGCACATGACATACATGGCCATGGATACACACACACATATATACACAGACACACCAGACCGAGCCATTTCCCAGCATCCTTAGAGCATTAGACCCCTGTTAATCCAACCGCGGTCTTCGGTTCAATGCAGCTGCATCTACCGGTCACAGGCCAGCACACTCCTCTTTCTCCAGCACTCTGTTTTAATTACTTTTCTCTGTTTTCTCTCCCACTAAGTCTCCTTCCATCCATCCCCATCCCTCTGTTTTGCTGCGATTACACAAGAGAAGGCAGTCACATAGAGGAGGGGGGCAACAAGCTAGGGAGATGAGTGAAGAGTGGTTGTTTTCATTGGCCGGCAAGTAGAGCGAAGGGGTTTTAAAGGTCAATTCTACAACGGCTGATAATTTAGTTCAAAAGTAATTTACTTTTACTTTACACACCTCTAGTCATACATACATACAATATATACTGCAGTGGGCTACTCAAACACATCAGTGTTTTGATATTCAGTCTCTCTTTCATGGAGGCTTTCACATCAACCCACATGCATTTTTAGCACTTTATCACAGACACACTCAAACAGAAATATAACAAGACTTACTTCCTTTTTCCAGTAGGTGGCACTATGATTATGACTAAATATGGGCATGTAGATGTGTTCAGGGTCACTCTTATCAGATTGGTGGAGACTGGATAAAGTACAATGAAGTTTGACAACTTCCTGTTTCTTGGCGAAACACTGGTTTTCAACGGCACAGACACGCCCTTTGACGATAAGTCAAAATGTAAAAACTTTTCATCGTGGACAGATAATGCCCGCTAAGTTCAAAATGGCCAACGTCCTATTGGTTTTGTGGTATGGGTCCAAGAGGCTTTATTGCTTGTCTGGTCATCATACACGTGAGGACCAGTTTTCAGATATGTCGGTTGTACGTGTGCCATTTTGCGTCGCCCATGTGCGGGACCCAATAGGTAAATTTCTTGTGCCAAAATTTCATGAGTTTTTGGGCATGTTGCGGCCACCCTACATATGCGATGAAATGACTCCTTGCATTTCAATAGGGTCCTTGCACTTGTTTGTGCTCAGGCTCTAATAATATAAAACGTAAATGTAAAGCAAATGTATGTGAGTCTCACCAAGCATTCGGAGCCAATAATTTATGTATGTATGTATTTTCTAAATTGTGGGGCTGGGGTATTTCTTTTTTTGTTTTCTTTTTTTGCAAAGGAAAACAATGAAATGGCCACCTGCAAAATAGCTAATTTCATGCTAATTTGCCGTTGTCATAACTATTAGAAATGAATCCCTCCAGGCTTAAAAGCATAATACGCACTTAATAGAGTGGTTATATGAACTTGCCTTACCTCATAGACGGCAAAAAAACATGATTTTGCCTAGAAACATATTCAAATTGAGACGTTTCTTCTTGAAGATGATTTATTCTTTGTCCACTGATTATGACAGTAATGTCACTAATTTCATAATCAGTGTCTCTTTTCTGAATGAATCATAATTTACCACAAGGACAATTTCATGTTATTTGTGCCTCATGCAGCCTGTTCCTCTCCATGAGATGTAACATACTATTGCAGTTTAGTATTCAGTTTGAAAAAGTTGAGCTTTACTCAACAGTAGAACATGTATTTTGTTCATAATTTGATATGATTTGGTGCACATTCATGGCATGCTGTCTTCCACATGTATTTTTATCTGAAATAAACCCTTAATCCCACTGTTCCCACCGCGAAAAACCATTTACCCCAGATACCATGCACCACTAAACAAAACCGTATACACCATATACGTTTGACAAACAAAATGTGTCAATTGTGTGAATAATAAGACCTGTAATCCTTTCATCTTCACACATCAATCAACTGCTCTCAAACTGTCACACACACACACACACACACAGTTTTAATCATGACATCTAGCAATCAGGCGACCAGCACCAGTCAATCACACTGGCTAAGATCTCATCTTCAACGCACAGAGTTAACATCCTGTTGCCACAGCTGTGGGTGCTTCGGACTGTGTGTGTGTGTGTGTGTGTGTGTGAGAGAGAGAGAGAGAGAGATTTGAAGCGTTTGATCTAATTGACATGAGTTAACTCGCCCTGCTTTTAAAGAGATCAGCTTCAAAGTGTCATTTTCTTTTGCATGGGTCAGTTGAACATGCATTTAAAGCTATTGATTTTAGCCAACAGTAAATTATGTAATGGTACAAAGAGGGATGCAAGGCAGGGGCATTCAACTAGCTAACTGTGACCTAAGCTAACCTGGGGTTGGCTGGGCCGGCTGGCTGTGGCTAGGCTGCAGGGTGTCGGTGTGTAATTGGTTGCTTCCTGGTGTTGGCTGAAGGGGTAGTGTTGCACTCCCTCCTGGAAGGTAGGTTTGTACATTAAATACACAGTGGCTATAGACTAGAACCAATCAGTCTTTACAAATTGAAACAAATAGGGTTGGGCAGCAAACAGATTAGTAATAGTCTGAATCATAGCCTGATGGACTTCTTGCTCCATTTAAATTACCCAAATAAGTGCCTCTACATTTCTGCCTCATCAGTATTCATAGCATCAAACATGATGCAAATAATTTACCTCTTAAAGCACAATTTGTTTGCTGTGAATAATTAATAATAATAATAATAATTGAAACTGAATGTAATATTGGGCCTCACTGATAGGCTGTGCCTGCACAATGCCCTGCACAGCATAAAACAACTCACCTGCAGCTCTCTGCTGTAGCTTTTCAAGATACTTCATGTGTTGAGGCTTTGTAACCCAGTGTTATACAGCACTTGCCTAAACAAATAAATGGGGATTTAATACTATTAAATGTTTTGTCCACATATCTAGTGGCCATTTTTCCAGCACCAATCTACTACAAATAATTCCTGCTACAACCTCATTTGGATTTTGAGGGTTTCAGCCACTGCCACTATTTAGACAATGTATCTGAGTCTGAAAATGAAACAAATGAATTCTTATGACTTTCACAAATAATGACTCCATTCACTTACATTATCAGATTAATTGCAACTCGTGCAGTGGCTTTAATTTATATATGAATAAACATATGCGTTCAAGATAACTATTGAAGCCTTGAAGTAATAATCGTACAGTTTTTTGTGTTTATTTCCCACTTCTTTTGCTAAAAATATTTTTCCCCCGTGAAAGACCTGCCTGGCTTCAGATTGTAAGAGCATTTACCAATATGCAGGATGTGATGTTCTAGTTCTTTATACCACAATCATTAGCAGTGGTGCAGAATCCCCATTCAGATGTCAAACTATTGATGTACTAACTGACCTAAAGAGAAGTTCAGGCCACGCCGTCATAAATCTACAGGACCATCACACTGGCAGCACTATTCATTAGTCTCCTAATCTAAATGTCTCAGGGTGGAGTGGGAGACCATGTCTATGAGGCTGCCATTAGGATGATCAAGTGGGCACTTTATATGACAATTGTCCAGATGAATTAGACCCACATCACCTCCAGAGGGATAAACAACATTTTCTCAAATTTCACAACTCTCAAAACAACACTCTCATCTACTTGCCTACCACCTATGCTTGGAGCCTATACAGACTACACAATATCAGCCCACATATGGCCTTTTTCACAGAAGACGTTATGACATGGGCGGCTGTGACGAGGAGATAGAGCGGAAGGTTGTTGGT